TTGGTAGTCCGAAACCCTTTTTCAAAATTTTTTTCACAAAAATTAACCAAAAAGTGTAAATATATTATTAATCGCAGTGCCTCAGAGTGGTGGTTATCGGACAGAACGTTCAACATGGCTCATCAAATATCGTAGCTCGACTCTCAAATGTTAGGTGGTTTAGGCATGACGAATAGTTGTACTAGACGAGAATTCATTTGTGAGAACGAACCAAGCTCAAATATCAATCTTCTTTTTGCCGGTTATTATAATATTTAACTGGAACATTGATACTCAATTAGTGACAAGCACAGTCAGTACAAGCATTAGGTGGTTAAGGCTTTTGCCTTCTCGATTTATTGAATGCCCCTAATATTTAAAATTTATATACTTTTCATTTTGTTTATTCTTATAAGAATTATGTAGGTGATTACTACATTAGAAAATAATTAAATATTACAAATGGTATTTTTAATTATTAACATTAAAAGAACAAACAGTTAAAAAATTAAATTATCAAAGAAATTTTGATTAATAAAAATATAAAAATTAAATACTAATAAAATATCTTTAGGTAGAAAATACAAGCTAAGAAAATAACTATATGCAGTAATATTGTATGAAAAATAAAAAGGGCTCTTAACTTAAATGTCAGTATCTTATAGAAATTAAAAAATATAGAATTTTTTTTATTTTTTATTTTTTTTATAGGTGACATCGTTGACTTTTCGTTAATGACCGAAGTACCACGTTGATTCCCGACAACATTACCATCCGTAATGCCAACGAATGTGAGTCATTGACCGCAAACAATAATGTTATCGATAATTCTGTTTTAATCATCATATATTAATTTCAACTAGAATTAACATCAACGAGTACTGAGACTTCTTGTTGGTGACTGAAACCTCATTTCTTGCTTTGATGTAAAAAAAAAATAAATAAATAATAATAATAATAATAATAATAATAATAATAATTAACTTTTTATTGTCATCTGACTCAACCTTCCACTTTTAAATTGTTCCAAACTGTATTATGACGATCTCATATTGGATAATTAGAATTGTTCCTTCTTTTGAGTAAGGATGTTGATTTTACTCTTCTAAATTTATTCGTCTAATACGCAATTTGAAGTTTGGATTATCATGTGCTATCTTACTACAATATTTAAATAATATTGAAACTTGTTAGGTCTAAAAATCACTTTTTTATCAACAACTTTTTGTTAGTTATCGACAACATCTCTCCATTATTACTGTCAGTAATCAATGACAAAAGTGTGTCCACGAACACAATCAATAATATTTTCAATGAATTGATGGCTTGGTCGATATTGACTGAAACACTACTGATGATTCCCTACCACATCATTGATGATATTATCATTGATAATCGCCGATGAACGTGTGCTAGTGATGATCGAATGTATCATTGTCGGAAATTATGTCTAAATTATCAATAGATTTTGATTTCAATCCAAAACCAACCAACATACCATCGGTGATCACTAACAGAATTTTTGTTAATGGTTATTTGTTTCATTAATTTTCATTTTGTTAATCGAAAAACTCCATTATCGATTTTGTCTAAAACTGTCCAAATTGCTTGAGCCGCCTCTGGTTTCAAGTTACCTAAACTTACCATGAAAATATCACTTGTATCCGAGCATTATGGAACATGTTATTTCAATCATTAACGCTAGACTTGAAGTCACTATGCACTCTCAGTATTAAAGAATTTAATCGTCTTGTACCCGTGCTCCAATTCCACGTTTAAAGCTTGTGAGATATAAATTGAATTCGAGTTTTCTTGTGATTTATACATTACATATTTGAATTGTACTCAACAATGTGAAACATGTTAACACGTGTGGGGAATAATTCTGTGCTCGCGCCTTTGATTGTTTGGCACGTGTAGAAAAAAGGACAATGATAAGTCCCTGCTGGCATTGCCTCATTGTGATTATATGTTAGCCATGGATTTGTATCTGTACAATGTCCCACTGAATGACTAAATATCTTAGGATCTGTTCGATAGTAAATGTGGAAAAACAAACCAATTCTATGTAAGTTGGAAAAAAAACCACCAAAACCATAAGAATTCAATTTCCATGAAATTTGCCAGAAACATGCTTTAAGTCTTTGAACCTTGAAATTCGAACTCTATTTCCACTTTCGTATTAAACAACTAAGGTAGAAAACAAATTCCTCGAATATGATATTTTCCATGGAATATGATGCTATCAAATGGGCCGAGGTTTTGACACTATACTAGTAAGTGGCCCCAACTCTTGGACACAAAAAATTTAGTCATTCATGTAGAATTAAGTGTTAAATATTTTAAATTTATAATGTGTAATCATACTTCTTGTACATATTTCTTGTTGAAACACAATTGAATGTTTTCATATTACCAATCAAGATAGCTGAAAAACAAAAAGTTGATAAAATTTGATAAGTGAATTTTCAATCTCCAAGGAAAGGCTCCTAGTTGAGCATCGAAAATGCCTACTTATGTTCATCTTGGAATTATAAGGTTAAATTTCAATAATGTCGGTACACAAATGTCTTTCTTTCTTAAATAATTATATCCACAGGCGTCTATATTAAGATAGTTGACCCAACCTCAATAATTATAAAAGCTTATTATAACAAAAGAATAGATGTCACTTTACAATACGTTGAATGTACTCTCAAATGTCGTCATCAATGAATAACTTGGAAAATTCTAGAAATAACGTTATCATTGTTATAAATCATGGCAAAATATGTGAAGAACAAGCTTCTTTATGAAGCTGACCCTTTTGATGTAACTAGCTGGAAAGCCAAAACCAAAGGAATATATA